ACAAGAGTGCGTCGCAGAGCATAAGGCATGGATTGTGGACGGAACAGGAACAGAGTCGCTTCTTTACATCACCCCCCTCCTAATGGAAGCTCAGCCCCTGAGCTAGAGTCGGTGGCCTTTGATGCTCATGTGTTTGATGAGCGACTTACGCGGCGTCCAGAAGTCGGGATCAGACGCCTTTAGGTGGTTCAAAGAGCTGGTACTGACCCAGTGATTCTTGTCAAGGAAGTAGATGCGAATGGCTGCCGCAAAGCCGGGGTGAGGAGCGTTGTAAGGCAGCCAGATTGGAGTAAGGATGCTTGAGCGATGGTGTCCTTCATAAAGAACTTTGTACTTGATGTAGGCTTTGTAGCTGTTGCGGCGCACAGCGTGAGAGTAAACTTTGACAACTCTTGGAAGGGTTGGCTGTGCAAGGGCCAGAGCAGACGAGTCTTGCTGCTGTAGCTCGATGCCGTGAGCAGCGAAGAAGGCCTTCATGTCATCAATGTCAAGGGAGTTGACCAGTTGATGCTTGAACTTGTCCCAGTCAACTGTGCTGTTGGCCCCACTGGCTTGAGGGGCTGTAGGGCGAGCAGGAAGGTGCTGAGCATTGTTGGTGATGCATGGTAGGTATGCTGGGCTGTAGTCGAGCTCCGACGGCGTTGGGCTAGCTCCTAGAGCACGGTTGTAGTGGTGATTGTGAGGTGGATCATTGTAGATGACCTCTCCAGAGCCAAATGGAGGTATGTAGTTGTTGGTGAGGTCATCAACACCTTCAAATTGGAAGTCTTCTGGAGTAGGAATGGAAGCTGGGGCTGCCTCGAGCAATTGCGGGTCAATTGGTGGCATAAACGAGTCAACAGTGACGGCGTCCCAAGCGGATTGGATCGCTGGCTGATGCTGAGCAGTACTGATAGTATGCTGAGGGCTGAATAGCTCCTCCAGTGCACTGCCCCCATTTTCGCTCTCTGGCTCATCCCACTCTCCACTAGGGACCCCTGGGGCTTCGGACGACGTACCATCGTGTACTCCTACATCATACGCTTCGAACAAGCCTAAGGAGGCATCGCTGGCACTCTCCATGCCCTCCTGAGACCTGACCCAGTCCACAAGGTCATCCCAATAGGTGTTGCTAGCCTCTCCTTGGCTCTCGAGATGAGTTGTTGATGAAATCGGCTCGGTGAGCAGTTCATCGAAAGCTGATGAAGCGTAGCTTTCCGTAAAGTCCTCCATTGCGGCAATCGATGAAGAATTGGCAAAGTTATGACCTTCCAAAGTCAACTGATGTATTTCTAGTTCAAAGTTTGATGAGAAGGGTTTGCTGACCCAACCTTAGATTGCTCCTTGTCCTAGACGGGTGATTCAATCGCCTTGGAATTGTGAGAGGATCTGCTTCTGTCTCGTACCTTCCCAGAAATCAAAAGCGCGCTTGATTTGCTTGTCTGAGCTCTGAGCTGCAGCCTTTGGGGTTCAGGGACTTTGAAAGGTGCCCTAATGAGAAGATGGCTCTTTGGGTGGGTACTGGAGGGCTTCTGAGTGGGATCCAATCGTCGATTCGCGTGGTGTTAAGAGTGAGGGGCAAGGATCTAGCGCGGCGCGGTGTTTCGATGGCTCTGGGAGCCACAGCATGCAAAAATCTGCCACTGATGCAGTGCCTGCAGCATGCATACTGCCTAGGTGCCTGAATGTCTTTGAGTCATTCCTGATGCACCTGATGCATTGCGCGCGCGCGTGTCGATGCTTGCTGGCACCAACAAGAGCCTCCCGAAGTGTCGTGTCAATTGCATTATCCTGAAGCCTTCAGCAACAATTCTAGTGTCGTCTAATTTTGGTGCGTCGGTGCCCAGACTGGGTAGCAGTGTCGTGAGTGTGTTGGTTCTCTGAGTCCCATCTTTGGTGTGCTTTTTCTGTGTTATTTCTTTTTTGAGACGGTCGTTCTGTGTTCTGAGTCCATGTACAGTTATGGCTTGTAGCGCACGCGCGTTGCGCTAAGCGGTAACATCACCCAAGGCCTGGAAGTCTTCATAGGCCTGAGTGTCTTTGATGTCTTCAAGTGGCGACCAAGTATTGTCGTGATCTTCGTACCCTTTCCACTTGACCAGGAACTGTTTCTGGTTCCTATGTGTGCGCTGATCCAAGATACGTTCAACAACGTACTCGTCATGACCATCAACCTCCACCGGCGGCGGCGGCGGTTCCTGGCGTAGCGCAAAGCGGGAAGGCGTATGGTGGAATGGCGCCAGATGCTGCATATTGATGACGTTGTGGATCTTAAGGTTATCGGGAAGCTTTAATCGATAGCTATTCCGCCCAACCTTGGCAGTCACAGCATACGGTCCGTAGTACTTTGGTAGTAACTTTCGTGACTTGCGACATTGGTCAAAGTCAGGGTGGACGTGACGCGCAGAGAGCTTGACATAGTCGCCAACTTTATATCCCCTATCTGACTTGCGCTTGTTGTGATGCTTTGCTTGTGTTACCTGAGCAGCAGCAAGAGCATCAGCGGCAGCAATTGCACTTGTTTGCAGATTGCGGGCAGTCTTCAAGCGCAGCTGGTGTGCTATCCACAGCATTCCAGCGGCGTAGCGGCGACGTTGGGTGGTACCCAAGATCTAATTCAAACGGTGTGCGGCCCATTGACGCATGCGTGGCATCGTTGTACGCGTACTCCAAGGCATCAAGGTGTTCTGACCAGTTGTCTTGTCGATATGAGATGTAGTGCCGGATCATCTCTTTGACTACGCGGTTCAGACGTTCTGTTTGCCCGTCTGTCTGCGGGTGGAAGGCGGTTGACATGGCTTGTTTTGTGCCCATCTTCTTGCACAGCACTTTCCAGAACAGGGAGGTGAATCGAGCGTCGCGGTCTGACACTATGACGGTTGGAACTCCATGTAGTCGCACAACTTCTCGGAAGAAGAGAGTTGCTATGTCAACAGCAGTAGCCGTTGACTTCATTGGCACAAAGTGAGCGTGCTTGGTGAACTTGTCGACAACAACCATGAGTGTGTTGTTGCCATTCTTGTCTACTGGGAAGGGGCCTGTGAAGTCAATCATCACAGTGTGCCAGCGTCGCGGCGGGATCGCAAGAGGCTGGAGGAGACCGGCGCTCTGCAGATTACTGGCCTTGTTGCGCTGACATGATCCGCATGACTTCACAAAGTCTTGCACGTCCTTGAACATACTTGGCCACCAGAACATGTGTGATAGCCTATTGAATGTCTTTGACACGCCAAGGTGTCCTGAGAGCGGCGCATTGTGGAAGTCCTGCAACAACTGCAGGCGCAAGTTGGTGTTGTTGGCGGGACTGGGCACGGCCAGAGCCTTTGCCCCAGTGGTTGGGTGTAGCCTCCACAGTAATCCATCATGATACGCATAAGCGCTAAGGTGAGCTGGAGTCTCGGCTCCGCTTGATGGTGGTGGTAGTTCTTTAATGATTGGCGCAAGATCCTTGCAGTGAGGTACTTGTTTGCGCACAGCAGTAAAGAATTGGTCTTCCGCCTCGACAAGGGGTGCAACGGCGGCGTTGTTTGTACAAGGTTCATCTTCTGGAACCGGCAAAGCCGCGCGTGACAGAGGGTCAACATTGCTATGGACGCGCCCCTGTCTGTAGATGATCTTCATATTGGGTCGGTGATGCTGTAATTCTAGCATCCATTTGGCAAGACGGCGGTTGTTCCCTTTGAAATTGAACAACCATTGCAGCGCAGTGTGGTCTGTAATGAGCGTGAACTGCGCTCCATCCAGGTATGCATGTAGCTTCTTGATGGCCCAGACAGCGGCTAAACATTCGATTTCGGTAGCGGAGTAGTTCTTTTCTGCTGGCTGCAGTTGTCGGGAGAGATAGCAGATAGGATGCTCGTGACCATCGTCTCCTTCTTGAGAGAGAACGGCTCCTAGGCCCGACAAGGAGGCGTCAGTGTGTAATATGTATGGTTTATCTTGTTGCGGGTGAGCCAGAACGGGTTCAGCTGTAAGACACTTCTTCAGGGTGTCAACGGCGTCTTGTGCCTGCGGTGACCACCGGAATGCGGTGTCCTTCTTAATGAGTTTGTTGAGCGGAGCAGCAATCTTTGCAAAGTCTTTGATGAAGCGTCGGTAGTATACGGCCATGCCTAGGAAACGCTGGAGTTCTTTCACATTGGTTGGCGTTGGGAACTTGTTGACAGCTTCAACATTATGCGGCGCGGTGCCAATGCCTATGTTGCTGATTGTGTGTCCAAGCGCCTTGATTGACGTCTGCGCTATGTTGGACTTCTTCAGCGACAGCGTGATTCCTGATGCTATGATACGCTGTAGTACATCGCGTAGGTGCTCCAGGTGTTCTTCAAAGGTGTCTGAGTATGTGATGGTATCGTCAATGTATACAATGGTGTGCTTCCACTTGCTCTTGCCAAGGATGATGTCCATGAGCCGTTGGAAGACTGATGGTCCGTTGACAACTCCAAAGGGCATACGTTTAGGCCGGAACAGGCCCATGTGCGTGCGGAAGGCAAGCTTGTCCATGACAGCAGTGCTAGCGCACACCGTCTGTTGGAACCCTTTGTTGGCGTCGAGCGACGTGTACCACTTCTTGTTGGCAAACACATTAAGTGTATCGTCTATCCTTGGCAGCGGATAGACATCTTTCTTGGTCACAGCATTAAGCTTGCGATAGTCAACGCAGAAGCGTACCTTGTCCCCTTGCGGGACCAACACGACTGGTGACCCCCATGCTGAGTCGCATGGCTCAATAAGATCTAGCGCAAGCATCTCCTCGATGGCTTCCTCTATGACCTTGCGTCCGGCTGGGCTTGCATGATACGGTGGTTAGCTGATGGGAGTGGCGTTGCCTGTGTCCACATCAAACTTGATGATGTCTGTGCTCCCTATTTGTCGGTCTCCGTAGGCAAATGCCTTGCGATTCTCAACAAGCAGTTCTTCTAGCTGTTGAGCTTGTTCTGGCGTCAGATCCTGATTGACGTTGGCTGCTTCAAGGGCCTTCTTGAATTCCATGACATCAGCCTTTTCCGTGGTAGCATAGTAAGATTCTTTCTCTGTAGCGCGCATTGGCTTTCCTGCGGCATCTTTGGCAGATGGCTGTTGTGCCGAGATACGGAACAGCTCATTGGGGTGTTCCGCAAAGCTCATGCGGTCCTTCTGGAAGTTAATGGTTGCACCATATGTATGAAGCGCATCATTTCCAATGATGACCTTGGTGTGGTTGAACGGACTAACATAGTAGCGCAGACTGATGACAAGCAGCTGCCTGTTGTCTGAGATGAATCCTGTGTCGATGTCAACATATGACCAAACCTGAGAGCCGGATCCCAGGCCTCGTATGCTAAATCCAGAACAGGGTTGGGGCTGCAGCGACGGCAGATGTTCCTCTAGATAAGCCTGATCTATGAGGGAGATTGAAGACCCGGAGTCAATGCATGCAAGATGACTAGCCTTCTTACCATTGAACCAGACGCGAGCAGTGGCAGGCGTCTTCTCTGAGTATGATGGTAGACCAGCAGTTGGATTGTGCCAGGGCTTAGTGATGCGCAGATGCTTCATTGGATGTGGCGTCACTGGCTTGGCACTGGAGGGGCATTCCGGCGTGCTGACTGCCGATCTTGAGACGTCTTGGACTGCAAGCTCTTTGTCAGGAATTGGTGGCAGAGACTCCGTGAACGCTTTGGTTTTAGATCGCGTGACTATGACATTTACTTCTGCGTCCGGAGTGTCTTCCACAGATGGTTTCTGGTAGCGGTTGAAGGGCAGCTGCGTAGCATTTGACTTGGTTGCCACAGGCTTGGTGGTGACGTTGTTACTTGTAGGGCCTTGGCGCATATCAGGACTTGGACAATCCTTTGCCCAATGTCCATCCTTGCCGCACCGGAAGCAAGGCAGTCTTGATGTTTGCTGGCCTGGCCTTGGCTGGCGTAGCGGTTGAATTGGCTGATGGTTGTGATATGACGGACTAGCACTGGTCCTTTGTTGGTAGTTCTGACGTGGTGGTTGTTGCGAGCGTGGTTCAGTGCGCTGATAGCGCTCCTTGCGCAGCGGTGCTCTCTCTGTGTCTTGACGGTATCCCTGATACATCTTATAAGTTGCATTGTTGAAGCCATTGGCGCGCAGGCCATCTTCAAGGTTCATGATAAGTCGACGGAACTCTTCCAACGTAGTTGAGGCATTGACAGACGAGTGGATGAACGGGTGCATGCTGATTGGCATACCCATGATGATCTCTTGGATCTTCATCGATGTCTTTAGCCCATTACTATAGCGCTTGTTGATGAGATTGAGCTTGTCCTGAAAGTATGTGGAGAACGGTTCATCTGGACGCAGACGGCGTCGAGAGAGCTCCATGTGGATCTGATCCAAGTAGTTGGGTGCTCTGAACGCATTGCGGAAGGCGTCTTGCCAGTCGTCCCACGTATGGTAGTCATAGCGCTGATCCTTCAGGCCAACAAACCAATCGCGTGCGCTGTGCTCTAGCAGACGTGGAATAAGCTTCAGTAGCTGACTCTCCGTTTGACCGGAGAACTCATAGATAGCTGTGACCTGTTCAAGCCACGTGTCCACGTCACGCTTGCCTTTATATGATCCATCATACTTTGGGAAGTCTTCCACACGGAGTCGAGCTGGCGTTTCTGCGGCAGGCTCGCGTGTGTTCTCGCGCGTATAGGGGCTGATCGTAGCTCTCATACGCTGGGGTAGTTCCTCTACCTCTTGTTGCTGCTGCTGGGAAGCAGGTGCTGATAGCGCTCGCGCCAGCATCTGCTCCATACGCTGAATAGTGGAACCCAGTTCCTGGATCTTAGCCTGATCCTTTGTGCGCTGCGCAACATCTTCAGCCCTTTGCTGATCAAAGCGCCTTTGTAGCTCTGCCATACTGGCAGCTAGTAGCTCATCATGGAGCGTCAATTGTTCTGTGTCCTGTTGTTCTTGCTGCGCATCCTGCGCTTCTTGGTGCTCTGGTAGAGTTGTACGTGGTGGAGCTGAAGGTGAACGGCGCCCTGTGGCCGTTGCTTCGCCTGTATTCTGGCGGTTCCTACCGCGGGTGTTCAAGGCAATGTCCGACATCGCGATAATCTGTTACGTCAAGCAAGACCCAATCTTCTTGAGTAGCAGCGCCTTGATCAAACACAAGGTGGGTGGTTGGTTGAGCTATTTGTATCGACAGTGACAAGCTGTCAGTTTGACGCAGAAGTGGCCCAACCTCTTCTCGTCCGTTACATCCAACAAGACCCAATCTTGTTGTGTAACAGTCCTACCTTGATCAAACACAAGGTCGTCTACTTGCACTGGTGTCCGACAGTGGGTAGACCGCGTTGGCTCAAACCTGGCTTCAACAGGGACTCAGCAGCGTTTTGGCAGCCCTGCTGTAGAAGTTGCAAGCTTCTCTTCTTCCTTACCCTGGCAAGGAAGGTACAAGCACCAAGTCCCAAACTTGTGCGAGCACTGAGTCCCAAACTCGTGCGAGGCTATAAGTCTATCCTTATGCCTAGAGGATCCCGGATCCTACAGTCTTGATGCGTCCACCAAGCTGTTGTTGTTTGCGTCAAGTTTCCTTTAGCTGGTCCCCTGCAGTGGTCACCAAATGTAACGACGCGTCTTCTGAGTGAAGACGTACGCCGGCGCAAGTAAGGTCCTTGTGCG